AACATCTAGGGCGGGCACGGTGGCTCACGCCTGTAATCCCAGCACTTTGGGAGGCCGAGGCGGGCGGAATCAGATGTCAGGAGATGCAGACCATCCGGCTAACATGGTGAAACCCCGTCTCTACTAAAAAATAGAAAAAATTAGCCAGGCCTGTAGTCCAGCTACTCAGGAGGTTGAGGCAGGAGAATGGTGTGAACCCGGGAGGTGGAGCTTGCAGTGAGCCGGATTGAGATTCCATCTCAAAAAAAAAAAAAGAATGAACATCTGAAGAGAGAGGGACAGTCACAAAATGCTTTTTGGGGGAGGCTTTTTCATCTTTTATAAAAAAAAAAACTGGTCTATATGACCTGAAAGATTATTCCCAGCTCTAAAAAGACAAGAATCTATAGTTCTAATTTTTTTTTTTTTTTTTGAGACAGAGTTTCACTCTTGTCACCCAGGCTGGAGTGCGGTGACATGATCATCGGCTCCATTGTAACCCTTGTCTCCTGGGTTCAAGCAATTCTCCCACCTCAGCCTCCTGAGTAGCTGGGATGACAGGCGCCCGCCACCACACCAGGCTAATTCTTCTATTTTCAGTAGAGATGGGGTTTCACCACGCTGGCCAGGCTGGTCTCGAACTCCTGACCTCAGGCGATCTGCCCGCCTTGGCCTCCCAGAGTGCTGGGATTACAGGCTTGAGTCACCACACCCAGCCGCTATGGTTCTAATTAATGACTTACCATTTTCATCAATAACAAAATCAAAGCCATTCTTTCTAAATATTTCCAGGTTTTCTATCAGAACAGCTTCGTTAACAGCAGTTAAGTTGAGAGTCTGAGGTCTGAAAAACACAAAAATGATGCAAACTGTATCCTGAAGCCAAACATTTTGCTTTACAGCAGAAATGAAATGAAAACAACAATACTGTATTTTGAATTCATGTCAAAATAGCAACATGAATAACAACACTATTCAGCTAAGTGTCATAAAACTTCCTGAGAAGTTCCTTTTAATTCTCTCTTTCTTAAAGTTCTTTTTAGAAGATAAAGTAGCTACAGGCCAGGTGCAGTGGCTCACGCCTGTAATCTCACCACTTTAGGAGGCCAAGGCAGGCAGATCTCTTGAGGCCAGGAGTTTGAGACCACCCTGGTCAACATGGTGAAACCTTCTCTCTACCAAAAATATAAAAATTAGGCCAGGCATGGTGGCGCGTGCTTGTAGTCCCAGCTACTTGGGAGGCTTAGGCAGGAGATTCGTTGGAACCCAGGAGGCAGAGGTTGCAGTGAGCCAAGATCACGCCACTGCACTCCAGCCTGGTGACAGAGTGAGACTCTATCTAAAAAAACAAACAAAAAACAAAAACAAAAAAAAAAAAAAACAAAAATGAGCTGGAAGTGGTGGCTCATGCCTGTAATCCCAGCTACTTGGGAGGCTGAGGCACTAGAATTGCTTGAACCCAGGAAGCGGAGGTTGCAGTGAGCTGAGATCGCACCACTGCACTCCAGCCTGGGCAACAGGGCAAGACTCTGTCTCGAAAAAAAAAAAAGAAAAGTTAAAGTAGCTACAAAAGTAGTTTGCCTTTTCCTCAGTCTGCCACCCCAATGACTCCAACTTTTTCTGAATCCTTTCCTTAAGGATAACAATATCACAAAAATGCTATTTTTCCTCCTCCTAATAGAGAATTTGAAACACTGGGTTAGGTCATTGCCAGCATTTGTAAACAGAATGAACAGACAGAATTTATTTTGCTATCCCGTTCCATCCTCTGCCTGTATTATATCTCCATCCTTCTCCTGGATTTAGTGTGTGCTTTTTTTTTTTTTTAAACTTTTTGTTATTTTTTCAAAGATAGAGACAGGATCTCACTATGTTGCCTAGGCTGGTCTCAAACTCCTGGGCTCAAGCGATCCTCTCACCTCGGCCTCTGAAAGTGCTGGGATTACAAGTGTGAGCCACTGCATCCAGTCCTGAGTGCTGGATAAGACAAACACTGCTAAAGGCAGGAGACAGCCAGTGAGCAAACACAGGCGTGGTCCTGGAGCTAACAGATTACTGGGGAAGAAAGACGTTGAGCAGATACTCATGCAAGTCGATTATGATGACAAACGACAGAAAGGTCAGGAAGAAAAAGCACCCAGTGTCATAAGTGAGACTTCACCCGGGGTCAGGAAGTGACCTTTGAGCTGAGTCTGGGGATAAGAGAGAGTTAATCAGGTAATGGGGGAGAAGTGGGTGCAGGGGGCAGGACAAGTACTCTAGGCAGAGAAAACAATGTGTGCCAAGCCTCGGGATGGACCGCTGATGTTTGCAGAGCCACACATAAAGATATCCTTCATTCTGCTTAGTGGCCACACAAGGATTCATCAGGCCTGCCAAGGGAAAAAGAAAGATAGCCAGAGAGGCTCGAGTACAGGGAACAGGAGGAAGAGGAACGGGAAAAGCTACAGAGGTCAACGGGGCCACCCTACACAGGGGCTGGCAGGGCAGGGTGGAACTGGGCCTTTATCCTTTAATCTTGAAGTGTGGTCCATCTGGGACCCAAAGTGGTCTGTGATTACCTGGGCCAACTTGAGATGTCACAGACGAGAGGTTATCTTTGCCGAATGGCTAAAAAATGCAAGACCACAGCTGGGCATGGTGGCTCATGCCTGTAATCCCAGCACTTTGGGAGGCTGAGGCGGGTGGATCACCTGAGGTCAGGAGTTCGAGACCAGCCTGATCAACATGGCAAAACCCCCTCTCTACTAAAAATACAAAAATTAGCCAGGTGTGGCAGGCGGGCGCCTGTAGTCCCAGCTACTCAGGAGGCTGAGACACAAGAATCACTTGAACCGGGAGGCAGAGGTTGCAGTGAGCCAAGATCACACCACTGCACTCCAGCCTGGGCAAAGGAGCGAAACACTGTCAACAAAACAAAAAAAAGAAAGAAAAACCTCCATTAAGAGGAACAGGGAAGGGATATCTCAGGATTATAAAGTAGCTTACTAAATGTCTTTATTATTACCATTGCCTCCTACTGAGAATAAAAACAATTCGGCCGGGCGCGGTGGCTCAAGCCTGTAATCCCAGCACTTTGGGAGGCCGAGACGGGCGGATCACGAGGTCAGGAGATCGAGAC